TGATAGTAAATTTATTTTAAATCGATCTCATTCTCCATTTTATGTGAAGGTCTTTGGCTAGGTATTATTATGTTTTTTTTAATTATGACTTGAACTCTTGATATGGATGTAGAAAAATGTAAGATAAAGAAAATTTAGCTCAATGACGCGAATTTTACCAATTAGATTTGAATAACAATATTTCTTTATAGAAAGAAATTGTCACAAATAAATAATTTACTTATCGAGTGATAGTGAAATCAAATTAGATTGTATCAGAGCAACCACAAAACTTCAATACTTACATTTTCTTTCGACAAATTGTAAATAGATCTGGTTTTCTCCTTGTTATATTTGTTTTCACTTTTGTTTTTGTTGGCCGAGAAAAAAATACTTCATTATTTTACTTTATTTAGGCTTTGGCATAAAAGACGTCAGATGGGTAAACCTCTTTGGCACTGTCTACTTGAAATAACGAAGTAACGTTTTTATTCTGTATGTCAATGAGAATATAATTATCATCATCATGATCATCAACATTATGACAAAAGTATTATGGATCTTATGAGCCTCTGCACTTTCTGTCTACTCTATGGACTCCGTTGTACAAAAGACAAACATGTTCAGATTCCAAAAGATCTTACGTCAGAGAGGACCACACATAACATAACATCACTCCTTTTATCTCCGAAGGGGTAGGCAGTGGTGCACATTATGCCACTGTACAATGTAACACCCATTTTTCTTTATTTATGTTATGAGTCCCAAGTAATAGGGGGTGAGTCTATTGCCATATACCGGTCACAATTCCAGACTCCGTACTACTACTGAGATTTTTTTTAAAAACTAGTAATTCTTTGCCCCCACCCGGGAATCGAACCCGAAACCCCTTGCTCTACACTTGCGACCATTCGGCCAACGAGGCAGGACCACCTTGGAGTTTAAATTGACAATTAGAAGTAGGTATAATTAAATTATTTTTAGAACTACAAGTAACATTCAGTAGAAAGCCTTCAAATCCAGACTGCCTTGCTAAATTCTTTTAACAACTTTCACAAAACAGATCAACGTATGTCAATCGTTTGAATTTAAGAAATTATCTGCAGAGACTTAAGTTAAGGACAACTCATTATTTAGTAGCCTTTTGATGCAAATCTGCAACTTGGATTAACCCAAACGTATTTGTTATGTTATATGAATAACAGGCACTTTAAAAGTAACCTTTAGACGTTAGTCTTATGCTACGTTTTTCCTTCTCATCTTTTTATGGAATAAACAAAGGCTTGTGTTTAACTTATCACCTGAATTAGCAACATGTAACAGGCAAAACTAGTTAATGGTGACCAGAATATAAACTCTATTTTAATGAAACCAAAATTTTTTAACCATGATATACAAATAAATCAAAATTGACCCAAATATAGTTAATGACCATGTTACATTTTTGGTGTTAAGTACTTATTTTTGGTAACAGAACTTATGGTACCAAAGTATTTTCAGGTGGTCATAATATTTAATCCCATAAACAAACACATAAATTAATCAGTTACATTGATCTTAATTTGGACATAGCATTTATATTAAAGTTAAAATTTATTAAAGTCTACAATAGCGTCGATAATCATGAAAAGGCCGGTAATGCAATTGTAACTCCTCTAGTGATGTGATCGTATATCTGTCTGTAGGATAAAATTTGGTTAAAGCCTCCTAATTACAAATTATAATTATTACTTTTGACACCTTCAAATCATCAATGTCCATCCATGGAACGTATAATAACTAGCGAAAGCTTGTCATTAGCCGTAGAATACAACCTTTTAACTGTTAACACGTCTGTCGTGTCATGTTGACGAACTTGACGTCTGATGCAGGTCCATATTGTTCTTCTACCAAATAGTCCCGCACATTAACCTCCTCCAATCTGTCAAATGATTTTCGACTATGTTACAAAACTATTAAGTTAGAAATCGATCAAACAGGTTGGAGTAGCTTGATCTGATGTTACTTCGTGGTGAACAACTTCACGCGCCTCTGTTAGTATTTGATTGACAGGTGCCTTTGTTTATAGATTTTAAAGATGTTTTATTTGTTTTAACTCTGGTTCCTTTGCTTTGAAGTTAAAGATTCTTTTTATAATGTTTACAATAGAAATATATTTTATGGCTGTGCAGTTAGCGATTAGCTACTCTGTAAAGTTTTACTAATTCGAATTTCATCATAGGAACCGTTTTGTCTATCAGTGCTATAAATTGTTGATTGTTGAGTTTGGGTGTGATATGTCTGTAAGATTCGTGTTAGTAAACATTTCCACGAAACAGAAAACACAGCCTGGAGGAAAAAGAAGAAAAAATGCAATAATAAACTTTTTGAAACTTCGTTTAAAAACCGAATTCAATACCCCTTTTTTAAGTCAGTTAATTATTAGTTAATTAATAACAAACATTTTTCTAAAGACCGCTTCAAAATCGGTTCAGCCAATCGCGAGATAATCGCGTACGTATATACAGGTTAAACTGAGAACCTCCTTTCTTTAAAGTCGGTTAAAACACATCGTAGGAAGAAGTGAAACAAAAACTGCAATAAAAATGGGTCCTAGAACTGCAATGCCACTGTGAATAATCTTATAACTTCCTATTGGAATAGTCTAGTCCGAAAAGGGGAATTCAAACAGCAATGTTTTCCACAGATCATGTTAATGGACCGATCGTAATAGACTTTCGTGTTCACAATGCTTTTACATAAATATTTTCCTAGAAATAACTATTATTAGTTATTATATCTGTTGAACAGTCACGTAATTTCTATCTATCATCGTTCGAGTAGTTGTAAGTTCAACTGCACCTTCACTAAATTCCATATTAGTAATGGGGCATAACATAACATAACATAAGATCACGCCTTTTATCCTCAAAGGGGTAGTAGGTGCACATTATGCCACTGTATAATGTAACACCCACTTTTTACTATTTATTTTATGAGTCCCATGTAATACGGGGTGAGCCTATTGCCATATACCGGGCACAATTCCAGACTCTTTGCTATTACTGAGATTTTTATTTAAACCCAGTAATACTTTGCCCGACCCGAGAATCTAACCACCCCTTGCCACGGCAGTCGCACTTGCGACCACAAGGCCAATGAGCAGTAAAGGTGCAATGTAAACAATTATGTTATCATGCGTAATATTCTCTTCAAGTATTCAAGGATGTAAACCTAATATTTGTCAGTGGTTTTAATAATAATTAATGAATCATTTTCACTGTCTCAAATTATGTAAAATTCTTATTCATAAAGCACCTACAGTGCTATACATCTACCCACCCCTTCCTCAAATGATTACTATGATACAATATTTCCAAGAACTAACAATTTAGTTGCATTATGTCAGTTAAAGAGTGGTGTAATAGATACCAATGCTTGGTACAAAATATAAAATACAGCGAACAGATGTACCAGCTCGTTTCCGATAAGGGAAGTGTTCTCGTGATAACGGGTGCGATGCACACGCGACTCCGTTGGCCATTGACAATGTTATACAGAAGGTTTGTTTTAATCGGCATCAATTTTTTTTTATAAAATAGGGTTGGCAAACTCGTATCGAGTAGTTTCCTAAATTTTATTTTAATGTCCGTCTGGTACATTAATTTAAAACTTTGACACGTATTTTTCCTTTTCTCACAAAATTAAATACTTTCGACGATAATATATTAATTTGAAATATCGTGTGACGTCACAGCGTGGCACATTTTGTAGCACGTTATGACGTAACAACCTCCCACTCCTAAACTTAGCGCCATTTTATCTAAGTATTGCAACTTAATACGAGAAAATAAAAAAATACGTGTTTAATATTTTTTCATTGTCTAACTGACGGACTAATTAGATTTTTAATTTTGATACCCTGGAAACTACCCAATTAGCACCATCTATGCACACTCGTAAATAATGGAGTTGCCATGGGTTGCTGGCCTTTTGAAAAAAAGGGGGAGATTAGGCACATTTGCAAAACTATGCAAATGTATAACCTCCTCCTTAGGAGCTCCAGATATAGCTTTCCCACGTTTAAATAATATAAGTTTTTGACTTTTACTTTGAATTGTAGAAAATGGAGCGGGAACTGGATGAACAGTTTACCCCCCCCCCCCTCCCCTCTCCTATGTAAGAGGGTTTGTCATAATCTCCACAGATGACCGACAGTGTGGGAAACATTTGTAAGCGTTTTCCAATTAATTTTCTATGCCTTGTAATATTTTTAATGCCTACTTCATAAATTGGTGGAATTCGCTGCTTTACTGATTATAGCAAAATGTTTAACTCGTCGAGTACCGGTTTCGTAGACACAATTATAGAACAATAGGTTGCGGTCACCGGTGACCGCTTGGTGTTTGACAGTTTAAGTAGCTTAATAAAATCGCATGTTGGAAAATATTAATGTTGCATAGGTTCTCGTTAGCAGCCAAGTGTGAGGAATCTATTTTTACTAGACTCGAAATCGATAAGTTCCTAGTTTACCTTACCTAGCTAGTGTGTTAATAATGTTGAACATTGTATGCACTTCACTTAAGTGCCCGCTAATGAGCAAATAAATTAGCAACGATGATGTTATTGCTAAGAAATTGATAATTAATTTGATACCTGGTACTCGTCTATCTTAATACTACGTAGCTAATTAAAAGTCAGGAACAAACATCTTTAGAATGTAAAAATGATACAGTCATTGTACAAATTAGGCAACCACTTTTTTATATAAAAGCATAAAATGAAACTTATTCAAAACCAACCGAAGCGTTAAAATAATTTAACTACAAACGTAGGGTTAAAAACCGTGAAGACAAGTTTACCACGCCTACTTGAACCAAAAGTATCTACTTGAATTAAAATAATATTAAGCAATATAATCGGACACCGTTATCTCCACACTCCATACTTATTTGGTGTACATATCGGCGATATTACAATCAATGCATATCTCTCGATATCGTTCAAACTTTACGTGGTGAGATATGGCAGTGCGGTGTGAACGTTTGGCTAACGCGGATTGTCCTCAAGTTTTTCCACAGTGAATTTTATCTAACGTGTTGAACGGAAGCCGGCCGATGCGCACATCTCGTTGCCGCATCCCGTTTCACTCGGCCCTCCGCCAATCGCCTCCGACCTCCGACCAAACGGACCTCTACACCTCAATTCTCCCTCAGTCTTACTGTAGGCGGCGCGACGCACGGACGTACGCGACTGTCGCTCGGTATCCGTTCGCGAGCTTTCGAATCTTACCTGTGGATTGTTAGTGACATGTGTCTATAAAAAATACATTATATAAACATTGTGGATTTTTTTCTGGATTAACACTGCCCTGTTTCGAGTTCCGGGAAAATCGCAACATATCATATTCAAGGTCGGTGTGTTATGTATGCTTTGCGAATAGTAATGCGATTGGATGCATTCGGAATGTCACCCGTCCAGTCTTTATAACTTAGCATTAAAGGATTGCCGAGGTGAAGGAAATCTTTTTAAACTTTGTGTATTGGAGTTCGTTGACGTCTGTGTAGACTTGTTTTTTCCTTTAATTATTTTTTGTTGTCTGACCGGTGCGTGAGACGAGTATCTGCGCTCACTCGATCATTCTCCCATCTCAGTATACCTACTTGCACATAAATAAAGGACAATCGGATATTGGAGATTTCAATAGCACGGTTTCCGGTTTTGCTCGATGTAAGTAACGTGCAAGTTTCCTGTTTATCTTTGAAACAATAGGGTATTTTGGTCACGATGCCAATCTGAGAACGAACATTAACTTCCTTGGACTGTATGTATTTTTAAACTCCAACGGAAACTTCTCTAGTTGAAAACTCTCATAAATTGACTTGCAAAATATTAACTTTCAGAACTACCGATGAACATAAAACAGAAGTTTCGCACAAAATATTCTATTAATAATGAATCAGAGGCGGCTGAACCGAAGTGAATTGGCATTTATTGTCAAGATGATCTCACCGGTACCCTCAGCCTATTTGAATATTTTCTTTTGGTCCGCCTTTGTTTATCGCAAAGATATTCATGTTATTATTCGTAGGTAGATGTTGACAATACTAATCGTGCCAATTTCTTTGATGATAATACTAATCTATTACGAGGCGACGATACAGACACTATTAATATTATTGAACTTGCCCATTAAAGATAAGAGCAGACATTACGTTTAAATGGAGATCTTGCACTAAACATGTAATTACTGTTTGCAACTTCGCGCCTCACGTTCTAATAAACGGCTCAAGCAATGCAATGAAATCATGGTGATTACAGATAATAAATATCGAAAAGTACTTTAGATACATGTCCTGAATTTTTTGTATCTTAAACTGTCAAACACCAAGCGGTCACCGGTGACCGCAACCTATTGTTCTATAATTGTGTCTACAAAACCGGTACTCGACGAGTTAATCCGTACATTTTGAAGTAATTTTTGATGCAGGTAGATAAAAAAAAACTTTTACTTTATTTTCACAATATAAACACCAAGCGGTCACCGGTGACCGCAACCTATTGTTCTATAATTGTGTCTATAATGACGGTACTCGACGAGTTAAACTGACGTCGATGCGGACGAATTTTTCGATGCTTTGTGTAAGTAGTTGTTTTTATTTTTCTTTTATTTAATATTTATTTTTTTGTATCTTAAACTGTCAAACACCAAGCGGTCACCGGTGACCGCAACCTATTGTTCTATAATTGTGTCTACAAAACCGGTACTCGACGAGTTAATCCGTACATTTTGAAGTAATTTTTGATGCAGGTAGATAAAAAAAAACTTTTACTTTATTTTCACAATAATACGTTCTATTATGGAAATAAGTAAATTCTTTTAGTGATAATTGTAAGATATGATATTTGTTTTTATTAGTCAGTCCTAATCACCAATATATTTGAAAAGAAGGATGAAGTAAAAAGTAGATGATTATGCCAGAATGTAGGAATATCGTATTTCATTGTCTCCGCCTATCTTTTTAGGAGATAATAATGTACAGGATAAGTAAATATGAGTCATAAGAAAAACATTTAAGTATGTACTTGCATATCCTTCACAAAAGCACCTTATAATTACCGAATGATGACTGCACCTGACAAAACCGACAATCCACCATTTTCGTTTCCTAGTGTGTCAAGGCTGACAAAACCAGTAGCCGTACAATTAATAAGTAATTACGTAAAACATCTGTATTCTTGAATTATGAACGAACTTACGTTGTGAGGAAACGGTAATAGATTCGCAATTTGTCATTTGAAAGAATATAATGTCAATGTCAGTGTTAATGACCGATTTTACGGAACAATACTTATTTCTTCAATTGCGTTTAATGAGAAATATTATAATGGTTCCTGTGTTTAAAGAGATTTCTAGAATTTTTGTATAGATATGAAGGATTTTTGACATTATAGTAGGATTGAGTTTGCTTATAAAGTGATATATATTTTTGAAACAATTTGTTTGTATCTGGAATAGAGTAAGACGTAAGAAATACTATTTAAAAATATATTTTTTATTGTATCATAGGTTTTCTATTTATAAAAGCGTTAGAGGTGATTGACTTTGTAAACAATCTTTTAATAGATTTAGATTTCGTAACGCAAATTGGATGACGGCTAACTGGGGAATACGAATTTTTGTATTAAATTCTGACTTAATGATTAATATAGGAATATGAGATTATTATTGTTAATGATAAACGAAGAACATTTTTGATTTATTGCATTGGATATTCAATTTTTGCCAATGAAGAACATTCTTGATCAGACCGTCGAAATACATGTTTGGCAAAAATAGTATTAATATAATATGAAACAAGTTTCATATATTTTTTACACTATATCCATCATAATGTTTAGGACTTGTGTTAACGTTTCCATTAACATAAACCAGTGTTAATTAGTCCCATAATAACTGTTGATAATTCATTCCATAGTAATAAATAGCCGTTACACGTCTCACGAAAACACAACACTTAAAATTAACTCGAGTAAAAAATTTACGAGTGCTTTGCCGTAGAAAAAAAGCTGTAGTTTTGTTTAGATAGAAGTGATTTAGTAGTTTTAAACTGGGAAAACGCCACCGTCATGGCTGTCGTTCTACGAAAGGGGTTGGCAGAGAGTAATTAAAATTGTAAGTTATGCTTCAGTGTTGTTTAGTACGACGGCAAATCGGGCTATTCCTGTTCTGAAATTTTTTTGCGATGAAGTTTCGTCTTTATTAATGAATAAATAAGATAATAAACTCGTTTAATCAAAGTTTGTCGTACCTAAACCTGATATAAATCCCATTACTGCTTTTTGCAACCATATGTCCCGATTAAACCTTACTAATGTATTCACGATAAACTAAACACAAGAATAATTGGTAATTGTAAAATAAGAGCTTGTACAAAAAAACAGCAATAAAATTGGAACGAATCGAGACATTAACATGTAGGTAAGCTAGTTGTAAGTAACCTGCTTAAACTTTTATTCGATACCCAAAATAGATATTCAAAGTGGATCCAAAAATAAAGTTACTGACAGTTTTCAGAGAATACTATTTATGTAACCGATATTGATCCTTATAATAATTGTGCTAAAACTAGTTTTACCATGAAATCGAATTTGGAAATACACTATGTGCCAGTCATCAGTTAAAGTCAGCAGAAAATTTTCAACTGTCTGCTGAAGATTGAAAGTGGAATAGTTTCGGATACTTGAGACCCCAACGTTTTCGGAAAGCTAATTAGTACAGTGACTTCGTCCACCGTCAAACTGATTTGTGTCGATCCCTTACAGGCTTGCTTGCTAGCAAAATGTGGAAGTTTATACCGAGAGGAGCTAAAAACGTAATGTTTTGAAACGGGATTTGAATGAATCGGTCATTGTTTGATTTTTGTTTCAATGAAAGTGTTTCCCGAAAACCAGGAAATCTAAAGTTTACGAAACGACTTACGTTGTTATTCCATTAAGGATATGTTTTTTTTTAATGTTCTGCGTCTGGTTCATCTAGGAGATATTGTGAAACCAATACATTCATGATATTTTTTATTCAATCATTTCGGTAGTTTTACTTGAAATATTGTGTCTGACCTTTATTTAGCTTATTAAATCCGAGTAATATTACTAATGGGTGTTGTTTGATGTTGTAATCTACCAAATGTAATTGTGTATGTGTATTTTAGAACATAATATACAAAAATAATATCAACTGTTTTTGGCCGGAAATAAATATGGCCACTGGCTTATGAACAACCTTCGGAAAATATATTGACCCAAAGCCTAAATAAATTTTCGAATAAACGGCTATCGAAACTTTGAAAGCAAATATAGCCGTATGAATATTCAGTACTAGCCCTATGATAATAAAGTTGATATTTCTATCGCAAAATATTCAGAGCCACAGCGGCCGGTTGTTGTTTTAAAACTTTTCTTCAAATAAAACAGAAGCGGTTATTGCTTAGATTTTGCCTAAGCTTTCATAACAGGAGAGTAAAACTGTGTTAAGCCCCAAGTAGTAAGCACGGACCAATACTCGGGAACAATGTGCGGCTTAATTTCAAAGCGCTTTGTTTAAGAGCCAATCAAAATTATGCACGGCGGCTTCCATATTTCTGGAACGTCAACTCAGTAGGCACCCGGTAACGAGTTTTGTTCCCCCACACAGTTTAGGACCAACTGCTGAGGTAATTTTAGCTGTTTCAAGACTCTACTGCGAGATTCTGCTTAAAACAATAGTCGTAAATTCAACTGAGCCCGTCAAGGTGTTTAATTTAAACAAGTCTTTGAACACCCATACGGCGTGGACAAAAGAGTCGTTTGTCTGCCGCTTCGAACGCTCCATTGAAATTATAATCGTACGAGATGCAATGCTTAGCGCATTGAAGAGTCTGAAATTAACGCGTCGAACCTATTAAGCTGTCTACGTCGAGCGGACGAGTTTTAAAATAACTGATCATGAGAGAGCACGTTCTTTATGAATAATTGGAAACGGAACTCCATTCATCTTTCTCTATCAATTATGGGAGCTTTTGGAACATGAGATTTTATACATAATTAATGTTTCTCTCTTTATCATCAACACAATAGACTTCATCCGAAGACCGTTGCTTTACTAAAGAAGTTGTATCTTCATTTGTGACTGTCTAAAGTTGAGTCTATTTCTATCTTGTCGACTCCTTTACTTGAAACACATTACGAATCTAATATGCTCACCCAGTTATTGTTTCACTTACGTTCTAATTTATTCGTTCTTTGTCAAAGTTACACAAAAACACGTTCTAATTGTCAACGTGATGCAACATCGTTTTCTCGCGAACGACAAAGCTAAGATATGAGTAATTACACTGGATCTACTTCCGTGCTGCTACGTACGGAATGGGTGCC